CTGGGAGCTGCCCTTCCTCTGCTTCCTCCCGCCCTCCTCCTCCTCCTCCCTCTCCCTCCCGCCATCCCGCTTCCACCCTTCATCCCTCTCCCGTCCCTCTTCTTCCTACGTCCCTCCTCATCCTCCCTCCTCTTCCTCCCTCCCTCCTCCTCCATCCCTCCTCATCCTCCCTGCCTCATCCTCCGTCTCATCCCTTCTCATCCTCCCTCCCCTTCCTCCCTCCCTCCTCCTTCATCCCTCTTCCATCCTTCCTCCTCACTCCCTCTTCATCCATCCCTCCTCATCCTCCCTCTTCCATCCTTCCTCCATCCCTCTTCATCCTTCATCCCTCATTGTCTGCCCCTCTTCATCCTCCTCCTCCATCTCTCCTCACCCCCATCTCTCCTCTTCCTCCCTCCCTCTTCATCCTTCCTCCCTCCTCATCCATCCTTCCTTTTCCCTCCCTCTTCATCCTCCTCCTCCCTCTTCATCCTCCATCCCTCCTCTTCTTCCCTCCCTCTTCATCCTCCATCCCTCTTCTTCCCTTTTCATTCTCCATCCCTCCACCTCCTCCATCCCTCCTTCATCCCTCCTCCCTCATCTTCCTCCATCCCTCTTCCATCCTTCCTCCTCCCTCCCTCTTCATCATCCTCCATCCCCCTTCATCCTTCCTCCTCCCTCCCTCTTCATCATCCCTCTTCATCCTCCTCCATCCCGCTCCTCCTCCTCCTCCCTCCCTCTTCATCCGCCATCCTTCATCCTCCTCCTTCATCCCTCCTCATCCCTTCACCCTCCCTCCTCCCCCCCTCTTCATCATCCCTCTTCATCCTCCTCCATCCCGCTCCTCCTCCTCCTCCCTCCCTCTTCATCCGCCATCCTTCATCCTCCTCCTTCATCCCTCCTCATCCTCCTCCCTCCCTCTTCATCATCCCTCTTCATCCTCCTCCATCCCGCTCCTCCTCCTCCTCCCTCCCTCTTCATCCGCCATCCTTCATCCTCCTCCTTCATCCCTCCTCATCCTCCTCCCTCCCTCTTCATCATCCCTCTTCATCCTCCTCCATCCCGCTCCTCCTCCTCCTCCCTCCCTCTTCATCCGCCATCCTTCATCCTCCTCCTTCATCCCTCCTCATCCTCCTCCCTCCCTCTTCATCATCCCTCTTCATCCTCCGGGGGGGAGCACCCCGCAACCGGCCCTGCCCCTCCCCCTCCCGCGGACGGGTAATTAACGGCCCTCCAGGGCTTAATTAGCGGGTTAGGGGGCTTAATTAACGGGTTGGGGCTTAATTAACGGGTTAGGAGGCTTAATTTGCGGGTTTTAGGAGGCTTCATTAGCGGGTTAGGGGGCTTAATTAACGGGTTGGGGCTTAATTAACGGGTTAGGAGGCTTAATTTGCGGGTTTTAGGAGGCTTCATTAGCGGGTTAGGGGGCTTAATTAACACGGTGAGAGAGCTGCCTTATGGGTTTAATGGTAAGGCTTAAAGAACTTAATTAGCAGTGCTAATAGAGCCTAATTAACAATACTAATTGAAGCTAATTAATGCTGCTAATACAGCCTAACTAGCAGGGCTAATGGAGCCCAGTTAGAAGGGCCAATAGAGCCTAATTAACACTGCTAATAGAGCCCAGTTAACAGGCTAAGGAGCCTAATTAACACTGCTAATAGAGCCCAATTAGCAGGACTAAGGATCCTTATTAGCAGGGCTAATAGATCCTAATTAACACTGCTAATAGAGACCAGTTAGCAAGAGTAAGGAGCCTAATTAGTAGGGCTATTAGAGTCTAATTAGCACTGCTAACAGAGCCCAGTTAGCAGGGCTAAGAGAACTAATTAACACTAATAGAGCCTAACTAGCAGGGCTAATAGCCCAATTAGCAGTGCTAACAGAGCCTAATTAACACTGCTAATAAAGCCCAGTTAGCATGACTAAGGAGCCTAATTAGCAGTGCTAATGGAACCTAATTAGCAGGGCTAACAAACCTTCTTTACCAGGGTTATTATCAAGCTTAATTAATGCATGACATTCCACTGGCTCCAGGACCCTCATTAGCAACCCCAGAGCCTCATTAACAATCCCGGGCCCTCGTTAGCAATCCCAGGCCCTAATTAACCATCCCAGGCCCTAATTAACGAGCCCTGGGGACACCCACAGGGTGCCTGTGATGGTCCCAGGTCCATGGAACGTCCCCAAGGCCACCAGGGCCCTGTCCCTGCTGGGGTGGCCCCAGGTCCTCAAGAAGGTCCCAAGCCCTTTAGGTCCTCAAGAAGGTCCCAGGTCCTTTGGTGTCCCCAAGGCCACCACACCCCATCCCTGCTGAGGAGGTCCCAGGTCCCCAGGAAGGTCCCAAGCCCTTGAGATGTCCCCAAGGCCACCACATCACACCCCTGCTGAGGAGGTCCCAGGTCAAGAAGGTCCCAGCTCCTTCAGGTGTCCCCAGGACCACCTGGCCCATGTCCTTGTTGAGGTGGTCCAAGGTTCTCAAGAAGGTCCCAAGCCCTTGAGATGTCCCCAAAGCCTCCACACCACATCCCTGCTGGGGTGGTCATAGATCAATAAGGTCCCAGGTCCATGGAACGTCCCCAAGGTCACCACACCACGTTCCTGCTCGGGTGGCCCCAGGTCCTCCAGAAGGTCCCGAGCCCTTGAGATGTTCCCAAGGCCACCACACCACGTCCCCACTGGGGTGGTCCCAGGTCCTCAAGTAGGTCCCAAGCCCTTGAGGTGTCCCCAAGGCCACCACACCACATCCCTGTTGGGGTGGTACCAGGTCAAGAAGGTCCCAGCTCCTTGTGGTGTCCCCAGGGCCACTTGGCCCATGCCCTTGTTGAGGTGGTCCCAGGTCTTCAAGAAGGTCCCAAGCCCTTGAGATGTCCCCAAGGCCACCACACAACGTCCCCGCTGGGGAGGCCCCAGGTCCCCAAGAAGGTCCCAAGCCCTTCAGGTGTCCCCAAGGCTACCACACCACGTCCCTGCTGGGGTGGTCCCAGGTCCCCAAGAAGGTCCCAGGTCATTGAGATGTCCCCAAAGCCACTACACCACATCCCTACTGGGGTGGCCCCAGGTCAAGAAGGTCCCAGCTCCCTGGAGTGTGCCCAAGGCCACCACACCAAGTCCCTGTTGGGGAGGTCCCAGGTCAAGAAGGTCCCAGCTCCTTCGGGTGTCCCCAGGGCCACCCGGCCCATGTCGTTGTTGAGGTGGTCCCAGGTTCTCAAGAAGGTCCCAAGCCCTTGAAATGTCCCCAAAGCCACCAAACCACACCCCCCCTGGGGTGTCCTCAGGTCCTCAAGAAGGTCCCAAGCCCCTGAGATGTCCCCAAGGCCACCACACCACGTCCCCGCTGGGGTGGTCCTAGGTCCTCCAGAAGTTCCTTGAGGTGTCCCCATGGCCACCTGGGCCACATCTTTGTTGGGGTGGTCTCGATGTGCCCCACGCCCCCTACCCAGAGTCACCCCACCCCTGCCACCTCCCGGAGGTGCCACCACGCTGTCGTCCCCCGGTGGTTCCTATAGGGCCTGGTCCATATGGGTGGGTTCCTATAGGGTCTGGTTCCTATAGGGTCTGACCCGTATAGGATGAGGCCTGTGGGGTGGTTCCTATAGGGCCTGGTCCATATGGGTGGGTTCCTATAGGGTCTGGTTCCTATAGGGTCTGACCCCTATAGGATGTCTGTAGGGGGTCAGTGGGGTGGTCCCTATAGGGTCTGGTACATATGGGTGGGTCCCTATAGGGTCTGGTGCCTATAGGATGAGGTCTGTGGGGTGGTCCCTATAGGGCCTGGCCTATATGGGTGGGTTCCTATAGGGTCTGG